TTTTTTTTTTCTCTTTTGTCAACGCGTAAACGGTTAATGATGTAAAATCGCTCCACGAAGAAAAATAAGCTGCAATGGTCTTTTGGCCAAAAGATAAATACGCATTCAAAAACACAAGATCCCATGTGAAATGCTTTGATGAGGTAATAGACAAGGATTTTAAATGATTTTTCATCTGGTTTCTCAGCGGGAGAATGAAGACCAACGCGCTACTCATGCTGAATAACGAAGACAACAAACATGTTAGTTTAGTCAATGATAAACTAATAAACACAAGAAAGCAACTGTCAAACACCGCCATTTTTTTTGGCATTTTTATTTATGACTTGTATGGCAGCATGGAACATTTATTCATTATTTACTTACGATGTGAGTCAATATAGGTGTTTTCGGCCATAAGACAAATGCTTTATTCTATTCTAATTTCTACTGACAAAGTGGCACATTAAGAGACACGAACACCTCGAGGAATATTTGAATTTTATCATCATACATATATTTCTTTTCTTCTTCGACAAAAAATAAATATGCCTGATAATGAGTGAAAATCCTCAGTGAAATGCTTCCCATTTAATGTGCTTTTGTATTTTTACTTCAAGTGAGCAAAAAATGAGCTTTTTCTTCAAAAACAGGCAATAAACATGAATATTTTAACTTAATTTTTTTAATTGTCGAAGATCTTTTTGCTGTTCTCCTTAAAGAATACAACTGAACTGTTTTTCTCAAAGTGATAATTGATTTTTAATTTTTCGCTTTTGCGTGTTTTGGGGTGAAAAAGCTAAGAATCGTACTATCAGACGATGTTAATTAATCTCTCAGAGTCTGACCACAAAAAGCAATTCCACTGAACCCTGAAAAACTCCGGAAATATGACTGAAGTACTTCTAGATCAAATACCTCCAAAATTCGTATTTTTTTATCCGCCATTATTTTTAGCATTTGTCTTCATTACTTTATTAGAGCTTTTCTCACAATTAGATGAGAAAGAAAATGCTGCAAACAAAAGAAAAACAAATAAAGAAAAGGAAAAAGTAACTAAAATTGATGAGGATAAGACTTCAATAAAATTAATATTCTTAAGCTTCGTAGGTCAAAGGGATTCTTAATATATAAATGAACGCTARATTGCAAGCTGTCAGCCATCAAACAAATAGGCTTTTTGCTATTGTTGAAACTCTTATTTCTTATGCTAATTTCCCGTTATAACCATAGCACTTCATATTTTCCTTTTATAACTGCTTGTTTTGATCTTATGAATTCCGTCCATTCCAAACGTTAAATAAGTATTTCTCAAATTTATGTCTCTTAAATGTAAGTTGAATGTCATTCAGATGTCAGAGGGAGATTTGCCGGAGCTGTGAGCTTTGCGTGCAGTTTGACAGTTTCTAAATGTGTTTTGTAACTCACAGACTCGCAGTAAATTCTCGTGGATATAATAAACGTCCAAAATAAATAAATAATCGTGACAAAAAGTGTTACAATAAAGACTTTTTTAATTTAAAATCAAAATTGAATTTCCTATAAAGTCGCACTTCTGAAGTACACATATTACCCTGAGAGGATATGTGTACAAGAGTGCAATCATAAAAAAGCGACTTGTGGCAATATTGTAATATAGCTGATGTGCATGAGAATCATACGAAGAAAAATAATGTCTCAAATCACTGCAAAAGCTTCAAATTGTATAGTTAATTACTTTGAAATATTGATAAATAAGTTAAAATGATGGAGATATTTGGATAACCAGCAATTTGCTGCGTGTATATAGATCATGATCAGTCCTCTTTGAAAAGCTGAGCGCACGTTATGTAAACAAAAAGAAACGCTAAATAAGCGTAACTTTTATCCTATATAATATTTAATATATATTTATAGAAGCCTATTGATTAAAGCTTTGTGTCACTAGCAATACAAGGACAGGAGTTGTTTGTCACTTTAGTTTCTTCGCTGTCTTTTCTTACAGGTACTTCGGAAAGATCTATCCGCTTATGCTCTGTCGATTCTTGTCCGAACGCGCTCGCAGAGCACCTCGACAAATCTCTTTTATTTTTATGGAAAAGGGACTTGAGCGCGTTTCGAAATTCTCTGCTTACGATAGAATAAACCAATGGATTCAAAGACGAGTTCGCAGCCGTGAAGACGACAGTGAGAAAAAAAAATATGTTGTAGTAGTTTTCGTCGATGATGGCTTTCCAGAAAATGAGAATGATCCTCAGTAAACTTATAGGTAACATAGACACAGCAAACAAAACGGCAACTGGAGTTAGAATGTTTTTAGCTCTTTTATTCTGTGCCAGTCGGTGGCTGTCTGATGGAGATATGAGAGAATGGTTCTGGAAACTAGTACCATTCGCCGTCCGGTTTGAGTCATTCCTGAAGTTTTGTGAACAATTTTCGACCTGGGTGATATTTTTGGTAGTTTTCCTAGAAATGATCCCTTTAATTCCTCTTAAGAAAGTGTTACTTCGACGTAGTTGCCTCGAGATTGCAACGTAAGTCCAGGTAACGACGCTTAGAGGGATAACATATGTAAAAAGAACCATGAACACTATATAAATATTGGTTCCTACAAGGTTGTCTTGTTGGCCCCTTGACCATCTCATTGTACAGATCGTAGACCGACCATCTGGTTGGAGGAAGACTATGGCAACATACACTGGAATGCAAAAAAGCAAGAAAGAGAAAACCCACACTCCAACCATCAGAATCTTGGCAGATCTCTTGGTCTGGCTCTCTCTTCGAATTCGCGCCATCCCGACTATGTTTCGATAGCGTTCTACTGCAATAGCTGCGATAATCCATACAGAAGCGCCGTGGAAAATGTCAACTGATGGATAAATATACAAACAGATGAATTCTCCCAGAGGCCAGCGATATGGCATAACGGTTCTCAAGACCCCGGGTGGAGATACCAAAAGAAGAAAACCAAGGTCTGCGACGGCTAGATTTTTGATAAACAAGTCCAACGAGGATTTAAAGGCCTTTCGTTTGGTCGTGACGACGACCACAAGGATATTACCAACGACGCCAAATAATGTCAACAAACCCAGAAAAAAGTACTTGGTTATCAAAACCCCTAAAGACTCGGAAAAATTCGAAGTGAAATTATTTCTTAAATGTGAACCGTTGGTAGAGTTGTATTGTAAATCCATAAGCATGTTTGAGATGTTGAATTGATCCATCTATTTATATGGTCTCCGTTAACTCAAGAGATAGATAGTTCATCTCATGAACTTTCTCTTTTTTTTTTAGCTTGATTATGATTTTTCGGGTTTGTTGTTCTGTTCTGTTCTCAGTACACGGAATCTATTCCATTAACCTTCTGGGGTTCGTTTGTAGTCTAGAGCAGCGTATCGTAGGAGATTGTCACTGGTTGTAATTACTATCGATACGGAGTCTGACTTATCAATCCCCCTAGTAGGCAGTGTACTTGCGGTTGAGCTAGCGAATGACAACCAACATGTAAGTTCTCGCCAACCTCTTCAGGCTATTCTTATGATAGGGCAATCGAGTACCAACTCATCAAAATACACTAAGCCCTGAAACAATAAGCAGGAAACTCTATCAGTGGGAATATTTTGAATGCTGGGAGTGACGCATCTCATCACTTCCTACAGCCAATCACAGCATTTGGACGGTATTGCTGCTTGGAAAAACAAAACGAATATTCTAACGATAACATTAAAAGTTGTTAATTTTCGTGCTTTACTAACAACCCCCAATAAAAAAGCGGCGGTCATTATCTCATGATCATTAATATAGTGAATTTCTTAATGACCAAATTGGCGGCAAAACAAATCGTTAATTTATGCGCGCGCATGAAACACCTGATGGGCTTCTTTAAAGTATGTTTGGTGATATTTCAGTTAAATAACGTCAGGGAAAAGGGGACCTTGATGTTATCAAATGTTAGCTTCTTCCAAAGCTAAAGCAGGAGCCGTCGAAGTGAAAACTCGTTGAGCCTTTTTGTTAGTCGTATTGTCCACATACTAAATGTTTGACGTCATGCGCGTCTTCGATTGGCTGGGAAAACACTCTATTTTCACATGCGGAGACGAGCAGGGACCACGCCGCTCACTCATGATCACTCATCCTAACAAAAACACAAGATTAGACACTTTTTTAAACTGAATATCAGCTTATGGAAATAATTGCAGCTGATTCTCAGAGTGGCTCATTTCAGAATTTATTTCTAGATACTTGACCAGGGCTAGTTTTTTCCTTCGTGTTTTCGCTTTCATTTCGGGGTAATTAAAAAGGTGTTTCCAAGTAACAAAGGTTTTTTTTCAACCATTTATATCACGTAATAACATCAGAAAATTTCAATTCAAGCTTTCAGTTATTTTTCATTTGGACATTGTTAATTTGGAAATTGTTTTTCCTTTCTGTTTTCTAACCATCACTTGTATTTTAACCGGTTACACTCTTGGGAGCTCTTTCAGTGACATCCAGGGATCCTTTAGGTTCTCAGCGTGTGAACACAATACGTCTCCGATTCCCATTCATCCCACTCATTCTACCTCGAGTCTTGTTTTTCTTCTGTTGCAATTTAACAGAATCACTTTAGTCCATATGCCCTACATTTAACATTAAGTGAGATAATCCGAAATCATTCAAATCATGTCATTCCCGGATGCCAGGAGGGTTCTTGCTTTGTTCTTAAAGATAATGGGAATTTATTTATATTTTCATTTGTATACGGAAAAATATCGATCTGATCTTCTCCTCTGTAGAACATGCGGTGATTTCTTTCACTAAAGTTCTTCTAGAAAATGCTTACTTTATCCTCAAAATCTCTCTTCGAATTCTGAATTCGATGGGTTTCCTGCGTTGGGATCTTCTCTGTTTTTTCGCGGCACATGAATCAAAGTTCAAGCAAATAAACACCGAATTATTAACGTTCGACGATTGAGTTCGCTTTCGTCAGCACTTTTATTACTTTTTGCTTCAAGCGATACTCCAAAGGAACTAATGTCAGACATATATCCGTCAGTGATTTTACTGAAACAATTTTCAGGTCTTTAGCTGTCACTTAATTCTTTTTTTTTTTTTCATGACGCCCGAAACGTTTTATTTTTCCTTTGCTATTATCAATAATTTTCATTGCTTTTTTTACTGCATTTCCCAGAAATAAGAATCACTTATAAAGGTGAATAATTGTTAGCGGGTTATAGATGTCTGTCTGTTCGCTTGAGATTACTGGAAACACCCCGTCAGCACGGCGAAAATGTCATATCTCTACAAGGATTAGGTCAAAAGTGCGCCAGAGATTATGAGGGAGGTGGTTTGAAAAACCTTCGATTTTATCAAATCCTTAAACAACCTCTGGGCTGATCTGAGTCGGGGCACAGCTAACACGCAGATCGAACCCTGAAACAACCTCTGGGTTGATCTAAGTCAGGGCATGGCTAGCTTGCTGATCGAACCCACGCGGGGAGCATAACGAGTAGCGGAGTACTTCTCGATACTTCTCGGGTGTTTTGCCAATCTTCCACGAGTGCTTTAAAGGCCGGTTTAGACGGTACGATGTTCGCCTACAACTATCGTAAAAGACACGCTCGCGCCACCCTACAACTCGAGTCGTAACGTGTAAGTCAAGCCTACAACTCGCCTACGACAGACGCGAGCGTGTTGTATACGATAGTTGTAGGCGAAAATCGTACCGTCTAAACCGGCCTTAAAACTCCGCACAGCACAGCAAGCAAGTTTTTTATTTCTTTTATGAGATACAAATTACGTTATTTTAGAGTGCTGAGTGCTCTCATTAAGCACGCGCTCCCAACCAATAGTAGCAAAACGCGAGATTAATAACCGTTATTTTATAATGAAATTTAGCGTGTTTGTTTTTACAAAGGGATCGAGCAAAACCGGAGAACCTAGAAAAAAAACCTTCGAATCAAGGAAAAGACCTGACAAACTCTACTCACATGTGATGCCGAGTCCAGGAATTGAACCTGAGACCCCAGAGGCGAGAGGCGAGCATGGACTACCGTCCCTCATTGAAGACTATTGGGCCTTTAGTTTGCTTAGTATGACGTATGGATGTGATCTGATACCTTATATGGAGTTGTTTGTTCCAAAGTCGTAGAATGCGCCTTACTGTTGTAATGGGATCAAGTCTGTACTATCAGACGATGAGAAATACTATATATATCTTTCTCTATTCGATAACCAATCAAATAGTCTGCTATATCAGAGCTTATCCAATCACGTCAAAGGTCTTCCCCAAGCCCCTCCCAACCCAATCCCTTCGTCGTTCAAAAAAGTAAGAAATATTGAATTTTTGAATAAAATAGAAAATAAGACAAAGATAAGGAAAAGTTAACCAATTTAGGTTTCTTTTTTGCTAATAACTAGAATTTTCCATAAACCAAAAAGAAAATCTTCATAGCTAAAGAATCAATGCCTTGTTGTTGTTTTTACGTTTGCTTTATCAGTTACGAAAACATCCTATTAGACAGATTTTCTCTTCTTCTAAATGGGTAGAATATTGTTGCTCAAACCCTTAGGAAGCCGATTAGTCTTCGCAGCGACGAAAATATGTTAATGTACGAGAGGTGATGACGCGTACTGTCAGTGAACGATTCACAACCAAGATTTCGTGAGTTTTACAAAAAACAAATGTCGTGTAGAATCGAAGAAAACTATAACTAGCTATGCGAAACTAGAAGTAAAACTTTGAAGATCAATCCTCAATAGCGTAGTTATTGCTTCAGACCATTCGTGAATACTGCTGGTTTGAAATTCAAGCGTGGGAAAACACCATAGATACGAAAAACCTACACACAAAACACTAAAAATTAAGAATTACCTCGTTGGAAGGGATGTGACCGAGTAGTTGAGTAGACCTAAACTGTTAAAATCAAACAGAAAACATTGAAGTTAAAAACAAAGTTGAAGTGGTTGTATATATTAATCGAGGTCTCGCTAGCTTTCTGAATTTGCATACCTAAATGTTTTAAATGGTTTGCAGAAATAGCCCTAAGCAGTCGCACTGACTAAGTGCAAAAGATACATTTCCACCCAGTGTTTTTTGTAAGCTATAATTATGAAGTACTGTAATTTCCACGTCCTGTTCAAAAGTAAGAAATATGAGAAAATAATTGACTAAGTTGCTCTCTTGGTCTTTGTTTTTCTATTCTAGAGTTTTTTCTCGACTGTTTTTATCGCAATTTGTGCCAAAGCAATTTGTAAATACTAAATTTATTAATGTGACTGTTTGAATGAATAATCTATGAATGAGAGTTAATAAATTCGTAAACATCTGGAATTTAATTTTACCGGAATTTGCAAAATACATTAACGAGCAAGATTAAGAATGAACGATTTTTAATGTTGTTTTCAAACTGTGAAAAAAAGCAAATGTGCAGCTTTCTCGCCACGTTTACATGCAGCGTGATTCGCATTCGTTGATTGGTTCACAGGGAAGAAGCCTTTTTAAGTCAATTGCAGTTTTTCACATGTAAAGTCTGCTTTCCTGGTGCACGCATTTGACGACAAACAAATTTATAACTCAGTACTAGTAATACAATTTTTATATCAATCACTGATCTCCTTTTCTCAATCTCCTCCCTCAACCATCAACCACTGTACGCGGGTAAAGCAATACCATTCCTTTTTGACGGGTATAAAAGTGACCTCAGTGGTACATTACTAATATATTCAAATTCTGAATAAGGGTATCTATTATATTATTTATTATCTGTTTGCGTTGTCTATTCCTCGACTCACCCAACGCCTTCGTCCCCGAGGAACCCTGCGATGAAACGTCTACAAGACCTATAAAGAAAGAAGCGTCTAAGTCACTAATGGAACTCCCAACGAAGTATAGATGTACTACAAGTATAGAGTTTCGAGAACCGGCATCCCCTGTATGTGATATCTTCTCCGAAATATTTATTTTTATTCTTATTTTTTTATTTAGTAAATTTGCACAGCAGGCTGAGAAAAGACTCGAAGTCCACGCGAGCTCAGCCTGAGATGTTGGAGAAATGCCAGAGTTATTTCAGTAAATATTATTCAAATTTTCGAATTGAATTTCCAAAACAGTACCTGAGTCATATTCAATGATACTCAAAGATCATCCCTCATAGAAAAAGCATTAATACAAGCATAACATACTCTCAAATCATCTGCGTGGGCTGTTTATACTGTTAATGATATATCAAAATATCTTTGGGCGCTATTATCCATCGCTGATATCTTGGTCAAGTAAGAGAGTAGAAGTCTTCATTGGTAGATGATGTATCAGTCAGCCTCGAAAACAAATAATCGAAATGGCGCCCGAATGAGTCTGTTATTGATATGATAGCCTTTTGTAACCATGTGTTTTTTCAGGGAATGCGGCTCAACACTATGCAAATCTGAAGCGCGAAAATAATTGTCGACTAGGTCATGTAATCGCACTTTCAGCGCTATATTTCAAGTGTTTACATGGTTTTCCTTGCTTCTTGAGTGTGTAGGCTCAATCGCTTTGTCATACTTATTGAAACTGCTATAAAGGAAGGATTAAATGCGCTATAACTGTTGTGAACATTTGAATGCGCGGAGCGTTTCTTCAACTCAGTCTTCTTTGCTCTCCTTTCCTCTTCTCTCTTCTTCCTCCTCTCTCAATCTCCCCACCTCTCTTCTTCCTCCTCTCTCGATCTCCCCACCACTCTTCTTCCTCCTCTCTTGATCTCCCCACCTCTCTTCTTCCTCATCTGATGCTAACAAAACATTGCGTGACTGAGCTACTTTTTTCTAGCGCATTTTCTTCTTGTTTATCCTTTTCTTTGGTATTTCTCGATTTTTGTGACGACGGTTGGTATTTATAAGCCTCTGAAACAATAATTTCCTGACGCCGCCGGAAACGAGGGCAGTCGCGACATTATGGCTTTTAACTCGTTACGTTCTCGTAGATCCTGTGCCACAAAAACACCGCGCTGTCTGTTTATAACCCTTTTTATTTTAACCTCTGACTGTAGGTGCTAAATACAATTTATGAGCCCTTTGTGCGCGGTACGGTCTGTGGGGCTAAAGTGCAAATGAACCCTTCGACAATACTTTTAGTACTGATTCTACATGAAGTAAATAGTTGAATGGTAAAATATTTCTTGATTTGAGTGATGCGTTTCTAAGTTATGAAGGTTTATACTTCCAATATGCTAATGAGTGTGACGTCTATTAAGGCTTAATTAAATATACAAAATCGAACTGGTTCATAGATACAGTATTTCAAAAGTACCATTATTTTACTCATGGTTTACATGAAAGCTATTATTTAAAATTTTTATTTTCAAAATGGCCAGCATTTAGTATTACTAGTTACAACAAAAACACTCAAATACCTTACCTGACGTCATCATCATTAACATATTGGAAGTATAAACCTTCATAACTTAGAGGCGCATCACTCAAATCAAGAAATATTTTACCATTCAACTATCTACTTTATGTAGAATCTGTAACTGAAAGTATTGTCGAAGGGTTCATTTGCACTTAAAAAAGCAAGCTGCTTATTGAATATACAAAATGTGAATTGAGATATTAAGTTACCTAACGCTACGCTCACCTTGTTGAGAAGAAGCTTGCGTTGAAAATTGTATTGCTAATGTAGATACAAGTCTGTGGGTGAAAAGCAAGTTGATCAGTAAAGTACACAGTGTTTAGGAAAGTAGCCTGTCGCAACAATTTTTAAATGCGCACATGCGCACTCTCGTTATGCACACTCGTTTAAATGAGTGGAGGGAAAGCCCTGAAACAACCTTGGAGCTGATCTAAGTGCCTATATTAAAAGCTCACAATTATATATGACAAAGTGACTTCACCGAATGCATAAATACCCTGAAGAAAGACGTCTGGTAGTCTCGAGCAACTACTTTTGAATATCCAGAGAAACACAGATGACAGCGCATCGTATCTGTCTCCGGACTAGTTCTCTCATTAGAACTGTTATACTGATGTTGGCATGGCAACCTCATGCGTCATTTTCTAATTTTGTTCCGTCTTTTTTCCATGGGGTTTCTTCTTCCGGTTTGACTTATTCAAATACATTTAATCAAAGTATAATTTAAATTCTTTTGAGTTTCCTTAAATCTTCCCATTTCAGACCTCGTGTCACATTTCCTGTCATTCAAAAGTTATTCTTTGGTTGCAACCACAGGACTCAAAATCCCTTAAGATAGAAATAACAATGAAATAGCCGCCATGTTGATTGATCTAACAAGAGAAGCTAATGAGGAATGCTTTGTTATTAACATTAATTAACATGGCGGCTATGACGTAAAATATATACATATATGTACCCAATGAATAGACCGATTTTTAGTCCGACCCATCAGATCCATTGAGAGCATGTGCGCATGCGCTCCTTGAGCTAAGCCAGGCGTCACGAGGAGGGGAATCTAAAAACTTCTATTGTTTGGGTTTCCTGTGGCCGAAAACACAAGAAAATTTATATTATAAAATATCTATAAATTATAAAATGACTGTTATAAATCTCGCATTCTGATTGGTTGGGAGTGCGTGATTTATGAGACCACACAGCACGTTCGCGCACTTTCAGTTGCGTCATGCATTTCTATCGAAAATAACGATTATTGTGATTTTTATTTTATAAAAGAAATAAAAACTTGCTTGTTGTGCTGTGTGGAGTTATAAAGCACTTGGGATTGGCAGAACACTCGAGAAGTGCCCAGAAGGAGTACGCTACGCGCGGTGAGTCTGCTAACACTTCTCTAGGTCTTTGAAAAACACAAGAGTGCAAATTATCCCAAGTTGAACAAGAAATCGTGCTATTACTTATTAATAGCATACATGAAAAAATAATTACAAAAAAAAAAAAGAGACGAAAACATGTAAAACATTAAACGCATACTAAGCTAAATATTTTATGAAATTCGTTCGTTCACAACCAACTATATTCAAAGCGATTTTGGTTTCAAATACATGTAATTCAAAGAGTTTTTTTTCCCTATTTTAAACCAAAAATTGGCTATATGTTTATTGTAAAAAGTTTTTTTACTGTTAAGTAAATCTGAATCACTGTGAATGAAGACATTTGGATTGGCTGACTTTGCAGCTAACTGGAGTTGTAAGACTTATATTGAAAAAAATTATACCTGACAGTTGTTGAAAGTGTTCAGAAAACTTTGCGGCTCAGCTTGGGATCTTGTAGACCAAAATATTGTGTAAGCACTTACCACGTCGTATTTAATGGTCTTGCTCATAGTCTTTTTCGTTTCTGTTTTAGTTTTTGCTTTACTTCGGCAAAGAATCGCTCGAGTATTTTCTTTAGATCGGCTGACTCATTTTCCTCAATTCTTGTCATGCTTTGTTTTCTTCTCACTATTTCTTCCATATATTCAGCAATAACGATGCACTTTTACTTGCCTTTTCTTTTTCGAACTGTTTTTTAGTTGTTTTATAGTAAATTCCGTAAAATCTTTGCTTACTTTCACCTAAGATGAAATGGCCGCCATTTTTCTTCCTCGATTTCCTTCAAATTTTCCTCAAATTTTTCGGCATAAAAATCTGTCATCTCATTGGCTAAAATTATTTTCTATTGTTTATGATCCAATCAAAAGCGAGAATTCCGTTTTTTATTTGCACTGTATTAAACTTTTCTGCACTGAATTACACTTTTTTGCACGTACTGAATTGCACTGTTTTGCACTGCATTATATTAACTTTTAACAACACTGCTCTAAGCCAATCAGAATCGAGTATTTTTTCACGTATGTATTCTTTTAATCACCTGCGCATGTATGCATTATGAGATTTGATCTACTTTTCGAAATGTTGTTTTGATCATAAGATATAAATGTATGCATATTCAATTATTAGAAAGACAGCAGAAATAAAACATGAATATACGACTATTTCAAAATACGTTGTCATCGCCAAAGGCGATAGGTGTTAAGAGAAAAAAGATATGATATAGGCCATTCCATGAAATCCAAAAATAGCTGGAATGACTTCTGTTTCTGCTACTTATTCTCGTCAAGAACATGGACCTTGAGTGTCGAGACTAATTCAATGTTCTTTTTATTCAACGGAACCATTTTCATGTCGGAATGACCTCGCCTTTTGCGATAACATCGTCTTTTGAAATAGTTGTATACGCCTACGTTTTTTCTATGCAGCTACTGTAGTATTTGATAATCATGGTATATTTCGTTTCTCGGTTCTATCTTCGTGTTGAGGACACAATCATAATAATTCAATAGCCACAGCACCAAAAAAATCTCCAAGTTACACAATAGAATGACGCGCAAACTAAGAATACGATAAGTTTCTATTGAGTACGTACATTGTGTCTCTTATTGCGTCCGCGTCTTCTACACAAAGATATTACCTATTTCTCGTGCGTCAACGTAATTCAACGTAAATAACACTAGATTATTTCGAAAAAAACAAAGTTTAGATTTGCTCAATTGATTTGATAAATTGAAAATTAGAAAAAAAAATTATTGGAGCGAATTTAGGCTCGAGTTTCAAGTACGATGAATATTACGTCAATTAATTAAGCGCAAGTTTACTTCATCTTACTCCTCGATAAAATGAAATAAAAAGTCGCTTTGAAACTATGCCTAATCAGTCATACGCATTTTACTCTTTTGTCCGCGTAAAGACGGCTGAGGGTCAGTATAAATAAATGATGATTTCTAGCTCTTTGTGAGAAAACAACAAGCCATACATCAAAAAGAAACTTAATTAATTAGAGGTTTTAAAATACTATCCACACAATTTCGAAACGGCCCGGCAGATCAGTTAAAAAGTTACTCAAACTCATTTACCAACGGTGCTTTGACTTCAACTTTATATTTCAATAGTTTTAAAAGGATCTTAAGCTTAATTTCCGGAGCAATCAGCATTTACAAAATTTTGTTTTTCTGGATTTCTCCACAACATTTATATGCAAAGAGCGATTGTCATGCCACAGTCATGCAAACTTTCGACTAACTACGCCTATGAATATCTTTGGGCTAACACAAAATAAAGCAAAGGTTTCTTTTGAATAAGGTGAATAAAGTCGGTTGCTGTCTAAACTACTCTTTCGAAACACCTTACTAGGAAATAAACAAACTGTATTTCTAGTCCTTGGAGTCAGTGTATTTAATTTAAAACCCTAATTAGTGAGTGAACATGAAGAAAATATCGGGGTCAGTTTATCACGGAATTAGCCTCGCTGAGTTCTCCACGAAGCGAGTGTTTGTTGTTAAATATCTTCATCTAAAACAACGGTGACACTCAAAAGATCTTTCATTTTGACGAGGGAAAAACATAATATGAAAGTTGTGTTAGGTAATATCGGTATTTTTTGCACAAATTAAATTAAACATCAGTATTTACGTACCCGTTGGAGAAGACGTCCAAACTCGACGAAAGATCCGATACAAATGAACGAAGGCGAAATGAAGCTAGTGAAGCGAAAGCTAGCTGCGAAAAGTTAAATGATTGGAAAATAAAGCGAAGGTGGATTATTGTGAAGTATTATTCATTTAGAAGTATTGTCAAGGCTCATTAAGGATTCTTACATAACAAAGAAGTATATAATGTCAATGCACATTCTTCAAAGTGCAAGTAACATTCTTCCTCGCACT